TCAATTCAATACACTTTTACATTTATATTTACATACGCTCTATCTTTGTTATTGAGCACTTTATCCCATAAAATAGCACACCTAAAAACTATATTTCTTCATATATATATATATATATATATATATATATATATATATATATATATATACATATATGTATATATACATATACATATATATACACAAAATATATATATATATATATATATATATATATATATATATATATATATGTAAAAAATACCAATCTGTCTTGTTCACAGAATTGATCTGGGAATTTAACTATATATATATATATATATATATATATATATATATATATATATATATATAAAAGACAAATAGACCACTTTAAGGTACCAGTATAATAATTTATTTCACCAGAGCCCTTTTAAAAGACGCCGGATCATCAGATAGCACTTCCAAAAATGAAATGAAACGAAAAGTGAAATTAAAATTGATGGGTGGTGTAAGTTTTTGTAATTTAACAGAGAGTGTAAAAGGAGTAGTTAAAGAGACATGGTACAGTTTAGGGAGGGATTATTTTCATATCTCTCTCAATCATAAGGACTACTAAGTTTTTTTAACGTAACTATATATATATATATATATATATATATATATATATATATATATATATATATATATATATATATAGCAAATTACAATTCCCTTTGGTATCGTTATGTTCAATTAGGGCAAATATCTTTGACAAAGGTATAAATCCACTTCTTCTGCGATGTCAATCTTTATCTACTACCCTACTGAATACTCTTTTTTTTTCTCGCTCCTTAATAATATTTCTCTTTTCTTTCTTATTCTTTCACACTCGCTAACCCCTTGTGTCTTAGTGGCTTTATTACCTTGTATGGGGTGAAATGATTAAAGGAAACAGGAACAACAAGAAGAAGGAATTAAAATTTTGGGGACACCTGATGAGAAAAGAAGGTTTAGAGAATATAACACTCATGGGACATATTGAAGAGAAAAGGAATGGAAGAAAATTGCGGAAAACCCACTTAACGAGTTTATGTATTTTTTGTTATCATTTCACCCCAAGCAAGGCGGTAATGCCACTATGTCGCTGGCTGTTACAGGGAATGAAACTGAAAGAGAGCACTGGTAATAAGGGGTATTGAAGAAAGAACAACCAGAAGAAATAGTAAAGGGACAAACATCTCTGTGTTACAATTAATAGGAAGTCGTGGGGAGTCATGATTGCCCATGTCCTGAAGGAAGAAGGGACATAGAATTAGATTACTGAACAGAAGTTGAAGATCCTTGATACGTGTGTAATCAGAGCAAGATGGCGACTTTATCTGAATTCAGTATCAAAAATGAAGTTAGAGCTGACTGGGGGTTATGTAGAACCACGGTTTTTTGACGTTCTTTGGGGACACGGCACATAAAAAAAAGTCTTCGAATTCTTCATAGGATCTTATAAAAGAAATGTAATTTCTCCTGCACTTTTTTTCTCTTTGGAATTAGTATCTGTTTTGATCCAGTGAACATACGCCATTAGCCCATTGGATTTCTTTACATTCGTTGTTATTAACTGCCAAACAAGTTCGAATCTTCCTGCCATTAATATTATGACAAAACGACGCGTGTATATATATATATATATATATATATATATATATATATATATATTCTATTCTTTCAGTTGATTTTCTATTTTTCTTTCTATTTCTGGATTTTCCTTTTGATTTTCTCTCTCTCTCTACCATTTGTCGTTTGCCTTTTTTTGGTCGTGACTTCACAATGTTTTTCCGCGTCTAGTTTTTTATTTTAGTTATTTCTCTTTACTTTCTGACCTTTCTATAAATAAAAAAAAAACAAGCGAAAAAGAATGCAGATAAAAAAAAGTCAAATTTTCGTATTTTCGTGCAACAGAATTTTCCCGGCTTTTTCTTTCTTTCTTTCTTTTTTTTTTTTTAATATTGTAATGCATTTTCCTGGTGTTCCGTTGTATAGAATACACTCGTCGAAACCAAGGAGTAGGCGTTTTTATCTGAGACAGTGCTTTCGATAGCCATTTTAATTCTTGTAAATATGGAGAAGTCCTACATATCTCTTGTTCGCAGAGGACACCATTATTTTGTAAGAAAGGCTCTTCTAGATAATAAGATTCCCGAGTTCTATGAAGAAGAGTAGAACCTAACAGTCTACCTCCACTAAAGTGAATTCAATCCTCAGTGGACGCACCACCTTGCTGGTTTTGTGTCGAACTCAGCGAGCTTCGCAAATATTAAATAAGTAAAAAAAAATGTCCTGACATATTTTACTATGATAACTTTCATAAAATTGTAGTTTGCTTATAATAAGGTAGACATATACATCTATGCGATTTCCCTCATTGGTCAAAATTCTCACATATTGCATATTGTTATTTAAGAACAAAAAATACTTTTCACTGAACAATGCTGATTGCTAAACGTGCAACTTTGTTTCACTCCTGGCCAATCATAAGCGTTGCGAGTCGAGTAGACTGCTTACAAACTTCTATGTTTGCTACCAGGGGTTTGTTATATTTTGTTTTGTGTGTGTGTGTGTGTGTGTGTGTGTGTGTGTGTGTGTGTGTGTGTGTGTGGCTGCATCTTAGCTGAGTTTAGCCTACAGCTTTCTAAGAAATTATGGTTAATTAAGGCCTTCTATTCGGCTTTACAATCTAAATTAGCCTTCTGAGGTTTTTCCTTTTCCTCTTTCCACGTGTTAGGTTGAATTGTCTTTTTTTTTTTTTTTGTTAATTTTTGCCAAATACAAGGCTCGAGAGTCTCTCAAATCAAAGGGTCACTTAATTAAGTTGCGTGACATGAGAGTAAGGAGAGAATAAGAAGGATAGACAAATATTGATCCTTAATTGAGGAATTCAGTATTGCGTAAGATAAGTAGAAGAGGAAGAAGTAAGGATAAGGAGGATTGACAAAGATTAATCCCTAAATTGAAGAATTTAATATTGCGTGAGATGAATGTAAGAGGAAGAAGTGGGGATAAGGAAGATAGACAAATATTAAACCTTGAATCGAGGAATTTAATATTGTGTGATATGAAGGTTGGCGGATCATCTGTTAGCAAAATAGTTGTATTGGGGAAAAATGTGTCTGAGTGAAACTTTCTCCATTGGAATGGAGAGGGAAATCTGGTTGATTTGACTCCGAGTTGTAAAGGTCTGAACTGATCGAACTAAAGATTGGAGCTCATCTGAGCAGTTGCTACAGAAATAGCCTTTGAGTAGCTACAGACATCGTGTCTATGGACAAAAAAAAAAACTGAAGCCTAAGAAATTAATTACCACCCACCAAAAACAAACACGAAAACAATTTTGAACTCCATCAAGGGTATTTTGTTTTTTAGTTTAGATAAAATGAAATACATTACAGGTTCAGAAAGGGCTTGCTGCAGAATTACCGCCAATTATTCGCACGGTCTATGGGAGTACATTTCTTCTTCTTCTTCTACCTCCTCCTCCTTCTGCTCTTCTTCTTCCTCCTCCTCCTCATGCAGCTCTTCTTCTTCTTCTTCTTCCTCCTCTTCTTCTTCTTCTTCCTCCTCCTCCTGCTCCTCTTCTTCTTATTCTCCCCCACTTCCTCCTCCTCCACTTGCTCTTCTTCTTCCTCCTCCTCTTCCTCATCTTCTTCTACCTCCTCCTCCTGCTCTTCTTATTCCTCCTGCTCCTGCTCTTCTTCTTCCTCCTCCTCCTGCTCCTCTTCTTCTGCTTCTTATTATTATTATTTTTACTCATCCTCCCCTCCTTCCCCCTCCTCCTCCTCTTCTACATCTTCCTTCTCCTCTCCTCCTCCTTCCTCCTCCTCCTTCTCCTCCTCGTCTTCTCCTTCTTCTTCGTCTTCCTGCCGCGACCCTTTAAGATATGAGCGATCATGGCTCTCCCAAACCCCTTATCCTTCGTGGCTCTTAGCGGTTTTTTCACCTTTCCCGGACACCTATGCCCACACGCCCGTCACACCATCCGTTCGCAAAAGCTCGGTTCAACGCCTTCACCTGTCACCCTTGCCCGCAATATACGACGTGAGGACCAACTTTTCCAAGATCCCTTTCCTCATTATGTATCTCTTCCCACTTCTGAGTATAAGGCGGTTCCTTCTCTTGTCATTTTCTTTTAGCCTTGTTTAAAGACTTACTTGGTCCGAACCACATTTCTGTTCAGTTTATTCCTCATCCGTGAGGAGATTGACTAGCATTCACAGACATAAAAAAGCACTCTCTTCTTTGGTTCTAACGGCTTTTCTCTTGTTACTTAACCATTTACGAACTGTCAGAAGAGCCCACCATAGACAGATAGATAGATAGATTCTATTTATTATTTTAAAATACAATAATTGTGTCACATGGCCTAAAAAGTGGGGAGCGGGCTTGAGGTTAGTCATCCTCACCTATCATATACAACAGTGATTTTCCAAGCGTAGCTTGGATGTGGCACAAGGCCGAAACTATGGGGCACCCAGTGAGGATCGAACTCACTACTCAGTCGTAATTGTTCTAGCGAGACAAGCTTGCTAACCATTACACCGCCCCAATGTGCCCAAGATAGATAGATTGTATGAATAAGACAGATAGATAGAGAGAGAGAGAGAGTATAATGAAACAATAGATGGAGATAGAGAGAGATAATGAATTAATAGATAGATAGATAGATAGACAGACAGACACACATAGATAGATGAATGATGAATAGATGAATTAGAGAGAGAGAGAGAGAGAGAGAGAGATAATGAAATAATAGATGGATAGATATATAAATACATAGATAGATATATACATAATGAAATAATTGATAGATAGATAGATAGATAGATAGATAGATAGATAGATAGATAGAATAATGAAACAATAGATGGAGATAGAGAGAGATAATGAATTAATAGATAGATAGATAGATAGATAGATAGATAGGCAGACAGACACACATACATAGATAGATAAATAGAGAGAGAGAGAGAATAATGAAACAATAGATGGAGATAGAGAGAGATAATGAATTAATAGATAGATAGATAGATAGACAGACAGAGATGAATATAGATGAATGAATAGATGAATAGATGGATAGATGATAGATAGATAGATAGATAGAGATAGAATAATGAAACAATAGATGGAGATAGATATATACATAATGAATTAATAGATAGATAGATAGATAGATAGATGAATGAATGAATGAATACACATAGATGAATAGTTAGATGGAGATAGATAGATAATAAGAATAGATAGATAGATGAATTAATGGATGATAGATAGATGAAGATAATGAATGGATAATAGATGAATAGATATATAAATGACATAATAGATGAATATATATAAATACATAGATGAAATAATAGATGGATAGATGAAGATAGATAGATGAATGAATAGATAGATAGATGAATAGATAGATAGATAGATATGACGTGAGAGATAAATATAAGAAATACATTTATATGTCTTATGAAGGTAATACTTTGACTTCAACGCTACCATGAGAGAACAGAACGTCAGTTGTCGTTAATCACGCTGGTATTTTTATTTTATTTTATTTGTATTCTTTTTTTTTTATTTATTTTTTTTTTTATTTATTTATATATTTTTATTTATTTATATATTTTTATTTATTTATTTTTTGCAATCGTTCCTATCAGATGTAAATAACCAGATGGAACCTAGGAAAAGAATAAACAAGGTCTCCTCACTACTTTTCGCATATTTTTCAAAGACCGTGTTATTTCTTTGATGCTTAACTAATTTTATTTGGTCTTGCACATAAACTGATTATTCAAAACATATTTCTTTTTGACAGAAACCAAACAGAAAGTTATTAACCCAAACCTGGTAATATCAACGAATTCCCAATAAATGTCTATCCAACCAAATTACTATCTAACATTGCATGATAATTTCTGGGAAAATACAAAACTCAAGACAATGCAGTTAAGGAAAATATGAAGAGAGAAATACCTGTAAAAAAGGCAGAATGCATGGTTACCATCATCAGGTCTCTTGCTACCAATGCACATTTTGCATATATATATATATATATATATATATATATATATATATATATATATATATATATAAGTGAAAAGTAGACATTAGTGAACATTTAGAGCGACAGTTTGTTTCATGCTAGACAGGTTTTGAGATTGTGACAGTTTGTTTCATGTTCATTCTAGACACGCTCTATCTTGATATTGAGCACTTTTTTATCCCATAAATATAAGCACAGCTTTCTAGTATATTTCTTATATATATATATATATATATATATATATATATATATATATATATATATATATACTAGTTTAAAATCTTAAGACCAGATACAAAAGGATTTTAAAAAATATATAAAATACTTTAATTATGCCGAAGCGAATTTTCGAAGTAATTCACAAAAATGCAGGAGATACTAATAATTAAATTGTCGTTCTATTAAATTGTGTTATGTATTTGCTATTTTTATTTACATGGTCTTATTGTCAGTATCTGTCTATATTTCTGAGATGAGGTATTATGTACACTATTTACATTATTCGGACTACTATCCTCATCTTTGTTGCCATATTTATCACAACGTTTCAACCCTTCAGTATCTGTGTTTATTTCTGAGATGAGGTATTATATACACTATTTACTTTATTCGGGCTATTGTCCTCGTCTTTCTTGCCATATTTATCACAACGTTTCGGCCTTTCAGTATCTGTCTATATTTCTGAGATGAGGTATTATGTACACTATTTACATTAATAGGACTATTGTCCTCATCTTTGTTGCCATATTTATTACAACATTTCAGCCCTTCCGTATCTGTCTATATTTCTGAGATGAGGTATTATTTACACTATTTACATTATTCGGACTATTGTCCTCATCTTTTTCGCCATATTTATTACAATGTTTCGTCCGTTGTACGCTCCGGCCTTCTTCAGGTGATTGGAATGTCGAACTGAACCCATTATTTCGTTCACTGTTCTAGTTCCACTTGCCATGTCTAACGGATGTCAGTTATTACTTATCTCTTGTTAATTCCTCTCTCCAAGTTGAACTCACACTTTAAATAGATTTCATTAAACTTGAAATTTATGGATTTATTTATATTTGAAATGTATATTTCAATGTATATTTCCGGGTATTGTCACTGGATCTAACTAACGCCGTTATCCACTGTGCCATGTGTCCTTAAAAACATCTGTGTATGAATTTCTGGGTATTACAAACCTAATGTCTTTAGCCACTATTTTTTTACCAGTGCTCATATTGCAATTTTTGCTTGTTATCATTGCATTAATGGTCTTATTTTTATGAGCAACCCAAACAATCCTTTTTTCAATGTTTGTCTAAATTAATCAATTAAAATTAAAATGTTCACCTGTCTGTTGGTAAACTATATTTTCTAATTAAATGTAAATGTTTCGCAAATATATTTTGATTAAAGTAACAGTATTTTTTTTTTTAACCCTTTTGTATCCGGTCTTAAGATTTTAACCCGGGGTGTATATCGATCATCACTGCGTCCGCCATATTCTCGTTCTTATGTAATATGTAAACTAGGTGAATATATAACTGGGATCCTAAAAGGTGCTGCCAGTCTAGATCCTGGTGGGCCCGGGAAGAACAGTATTTAAGAGATGGTTTCAGGCTCTTAAAAACCTCCAATCTCTTTATAAAATGCCTTGCTTGCTGGATGTAGTTTATCGTCATGCCAAAGATACATTGTAAGAATCTGGATGCAAATTTGATGTCGATGACCTATTAAAGACTTTTCTTAAAAACTTTCATCCCAGTGAATTGTATTTTCTTTTAATTGGAGTAGCATTTTTATGTCAAGATTGTGGTCAGTCTCCTTACGGTAAGCAACTAATGTGTTTTATGTGTTTTTTTTTGTTTTGTTTTTTTTGTTTTTTTAAATGTCCATATTGCTTTCATATAATCCTTTATTTAAAGATCTCGAGATATTTTCTAAATTTGAAACACAGAACGTGCCCCGTTCGGGCGCATATGACCGAAGACACATTATTAAAAGAAAATTCCCAAAAACAATTTTTCCCCACAAAAAAATTAAAAGTTCCCAGCGTCTGCGGCTCATGCGCATGCGCAGTCGCATCAACGAAAACAAACGTAGTACGATAATGTCCTAAAGGGCTTAACGCGTCACGCGAAAATATTTTTTTACACTTTTTCATACATCTTTTCTTCAAAATTGTCTTTGATATACAAAAAGATCTATATCGGAATCCCATATATATATATATATGTGTGTGTGTGTGTGTGTGTGTGTATGTGTGTGTGTGTGCGTGTGCATACATACATATATATATGTGTGTGTGTGTGTGTGTGTGTGTGTGTGTGTGTGTGTGTGTGTGTGTGTGTGTGTGCGTGTGTATCACCTTACATCACCTTAATACTACCCCTCAAATGTGTAAAAAAATATATGTAAATTTCAATTCATTTTTTCACCCTTAGAAGTGTGGTCTAATGAGCCAGGGAAAAAGAAAATCCCTGGGGAAATAAATTATAACCAATGAACCCTTAAAGTTGTTTGTTTTCATTAAATCATATATATATATACGTGAAGACATTTTTATGTTTATACTTTCTTTTTATAGATACAAATATTTAAGTAAATGCTCTCTTTATAATAAACAGTATTAAACAACATTTACCGGTCGGAATGTCCGAGAAATTTTAACAGAAAATATTCATCCTCCGACAGGATTCGAACCTCCGTTCTATACGGAACCGTCATTTAGCTTAACGTGTCTTAACCGATTTTTGCCACAGAGGAGCGTTCGGTTAGCAAGATCGAATTTACTGTATTTGAACTTCAATCTTCTATGAATCTCTCACGTACATTCATATCTGCTCATGGCGTATCAAATGTAAAATAGACAAAGTCCGACAATTATTTTAAGACACACACACACACACACATATATATATATATATATATATATATATATATATATATATATATATATATATATATATATATATATATATATCGCGATCTTATCGAGGAGTTCTTGCAAAGTTATTTCAAAAAGTACCTTCTAGTGATGGATATCTGTTGTTTGAGAGAGTCAATATCTTCATGCATTCACTGTGACTTCCAGTGCACCTTCGGCGGATAGTAAAAAAAAATATTAAATTGGGTTGAATCACTGAGGGTGAAAGAAACCTCCATTGAAAGAGAGCTTGTGGACTGTTGATATTTTTTTTTGGTGAAATTGTCTCAAATATTTCCGCCTGTTGAGTAAACAAAGGTCATTCGTGTACAGCATTTATATCTTTATTTTCTGCTTGAGATGACTGAGGGTAACTTGAATAAGCGAATGTCTAACGTCTGGTCAAGAAATTTTTCTTCCTTTTTAGTTTTAGGTTGATTTTTTTTGATTTTTTTCATATTTAGAAAATTCAGAAAGCGATTGCAGATTCTGTTTGATGGCTAAAAATGAAGGGAATTGCCTCAATCGTTACAAGAATTCTTTTTTTTTTTAACTTATATTGTTTACTTTTGGTATTCACGTCTTCTTTGCAAGACGGCAGTAAGTACATGCTTAATTTGACTTACATTCGCCGTACAGACAGTCACTAAAAATCAAACATTAAGAGATGGGCGAACAAAGCTAAATATAAAAGGCATAAAGGTACAATATATATATATATATATATATATATATATATATATATATATATATATATATATATATATAGAAAAGTTATGAAAAACTTGGTAATCCGTATGGGTAGTCCCAAGGACGATGAAATCCTGAGGAGCTCAATGTAAAGCTAATAATTTAAAAAAAAAAACAGACCACTTTAAGGTTCCATTATAATAAATTTTTCACAGAGACCTTTTTCGTTTCATTTTTTGGAAGTGTTATCTGATGATCAGCGTCCCTTAAATGGGCTCTGGTGAAATAAATATATAATGGAACGTTAAAATTACAATAATATATATAGATATCTCCAAAAGCACACACACACACACACACAC